AGGATGTGCAGGCGGAGGAGGAGGAGGAGGAGGAGGAGGAGGAGGAGGAGGAGAAGGAGGAGGAGGAGAAAGTGCAAGAGGAGGAGGAGGAGGAGGAGGAGGGGGAAGGGAGGAGGAGGAGGAGGAGGAGGAGGTGGGGGAGGAGCAGCACGATGCCGGCGACGACGCAGTCCCGAGCAGGAGGAGCAGGAGGAGGAGAAGGAGAGCACGACGACGACTAAGTCCCGAGCAAGAGGAGCAGGCACGACCGCGAAGTCCTGAACACGAGGTGCAGGCGGAGGATGTGGAGCGGGAAGAGGAGGAGGAACATGAGAAGAAGGAGGAGGAGGAGGAACAGGTGGATGAGGAGGAGAAGGGAGAGGAGGAGGAGGAGGAGGAGCAGGAGGAGGAGCAGGAGCAGGAGGAGGACGACGACGAAGTCCCGAGCAGTAGGAGCAGGAGGAGGAGCAGGAGGAGCAGGAGGAGGAGGCGGTGGAGGCGGTGGAGGAGGAGGACGACGAAGTCCCGAGCAGGAGGAGCAGGAATTACGGCGAAGTCCTGAGCAGGTGTTGCAGACGAGGACGAGGAGGCGGATGAGCAGGAGGAGGAGCAGGAGGAGGAGGAGGAGGAGGAGGAGGAGGAGGAGGAGGAGGAGCATGAGGACGACGCAGTCCCGAGCAGGAGGAGCAGGAGGAGGTGCAGGAGGAGCAGTATGAGGAGCAGGAGGAGGAGCAGGAGAAGGAGGAGGAGGAGGAGGAGGAGGATGAGGAGCAGGACGACGACGAAGTCCCGAGCAGGAGGAGGAGCAGCAGGAGGAGGAGGAGCGGGAGGCAGGAGGGCGGTATGCCCTGAGATCCTTAGGTTCCATCTCTTTGCACGGCGCGTGTTCGCGTGGTTTCGGACCCCCGGGACCCTCACAGAGCAAGCTGGATCGAAGCATGCAGAGGGTCTCAGCGTACGGCCCAATATGTTGACACAAGAAGCACTTGTGTTCGGAAGGGGCTCGCCGTTCCCTGAGGCCCGTCCCTGGATGTCCCTTTGGCGCTCTTCATGCTTTCAGGCCCTCCTGGGGCCAACGATGGGCATCGTTCTTCATGTGGCGTTCATTAGGGTAGCAGCTTGATTGAATCGACGAGTGTCAGATTGCCAAGATATTTCTAAGATGGGCCGTTGTTCCTTACGGGCCCCTGAAATGAGGGCAGCTAGATATTCCTGACTTGCTGGAGGGTATCTTGAGCCAACCGTATCATGACATCATTCTCGTCCTAGAGAGTGGCGCACTCCTCGTGTTTTCCCCACCCGTCCAGCGTCCCTTAGAGCCGCCTCCCCACACCCCCACACCCCCATGGGTATCCTGCTCGTGCAGAGCTCTACCGAAGCCGAAGCGCTCCGTCTCCCACCCCCCCGCTCAATTCTATCCCCTCCGCCGTCCTCCTCTTCGCGAGCCTTTTCGAGCAGATACCGGCAATGCGGCAACTCCGAGACGTGTCCCGCTCGCCCTTTGTACCCCGCCTGCGCCCCCGTTTCGCCTGCCATCCCCATCCTGGCTGGCGGCAGGAGCTGGCGGCGGGGGGCCGTGCCGTGGTGGTCACGCTGCACCAGCCGAGGGACGCGGTGCCCGGGGCGGGGAGGACGGGATTGGCCAGCCGAGGCTTCCCTGGCCAGGAGGGGGTGGCCGGCCCCATGGCGAGGGATGGGCGGGGGCGCGAGCTTCGAAGCCTCCTCCTCCTCCTCCTCCTCATCCTCTCTCCTTGTCCTCCTCCCCCTACCTCTCCTCCTCCTACTCCTCCTCCTCCTCCTCCTCCTCCTCCTCCTCCTCCCTCTTCCTCCCCCTCCTCCTCCTCCTCCTCCTCCTGCTCCTCCTCCTTCTCATCCTCCTGCTCCTCCTCCTCCTCCCCCTCCCCCTCCTGCTCCTCCTCCTCCTCCTCCTCCTCCTCCTCCTCCTCCTCCTACTCCTCCAGGCGTCAAGCGCCGCAGGGGCCCCGTCTTTACACGCCTCACCGCACCCTCTTCCAAATTTTTACCTGCAGCGCGATGACACCTCCTTCTTGAGGAGCCCCTTCCAGCGACGTGGAGTTATGATGCAGCGCTGCCTCTCCCTTCTCACACATAATGTTTGTTCTCTTGTGCAGCCAGGCAGAGCGCATGAAATTTCTATCGCGTATGCCAAGAAGGATATATGTTTTCTCACTGGTACGAGAGTGCGCATGAAGAGGACGGACGCACCATGTTGTAATGTAGTTGATGATACTGCCAATGTGCTCAGTTGGGGATATAGCAGGGGAACATTCACGAATGGACACGCAGGGGTGCATATTCGCTTGAGGAAGGATCTCTTTCGCCCAAAGCACATCGTTGCTGTACATTCTCCACCAGCCTCACTTCAAGGCCGTGGTGGTGCGGTAGTTCTACGGTCAGGCCGCTTTCATTTATTGGCATGTGTACTGTATTTTCCTCCTCGGTCATCCAGTGCTAAGCAGAGAAGTGAATATGAGAAGACAGTGCAGGCCTTGATTCGATGGATGACCGACGTAGCCAACACAGCCCCTGCGAGATGCTCCATTATCTTTGGTGGGGACCTCAATGACCACGCTGGAGTTCCCCATGCAGGCCATGTTTCCACGGACTTCGACCCGATCGGCCCGCTTTTCCCGAAACCTGAGAAGTACTGTGTGAGGCAGATGCGGGACTTTCTGGAACAATTTGGGCTTTGTCAGGCTAATACTTATGTTGGTGGGGAGGATACTTACTTTGGGGCTAATTCTAGCAGTCGTGTGGATTATCTTGGGATCCCAATGTCTTGGTTATCCTCTGTCACTCAGTGTAGGCTCCTTCAACGTCTTGGGCGCGGGCTCCAAATGGTTCCGACGGTTAGGCGATGGGATCACTGGCCTCTCCAGATCCAAGTCCATTGTGTCCTTAGTTTTCCCCAAGTTCAAGTCACCAAAGCTGAGTCTTGGGATGTCGATAGGCTGGTTGACGGTTGTGTGCATGGCCTCTGGAGGTCTCAGTTCTTGGGCGATGTTGAACGAATTTGCTATGCGAAGTATCCCACTTGGGTACAACTGGGGGCCCGAGCTACCCCTGATCGTGCTTGGGAAGCGTTTATTCAGGACATCAAAGAAGTTGGGCTCCCCTACTTCGCTCGACACACTCAGGGGGATTCTGATAGGCTTCAGCACCAGGCACGGCAACGAGAGCTCCTCCAACGGCGCTTTGCTCTACGAGAAAGGCTCGCACAGTTGCCAGCAGTGCTCATTGCCGAGTCGCCTGAGTTCAGTGAGCTGACGGCGACCCAGCACGCCTTGTTCTCTCTCGCGCGTCAGCTCAAAGCTGAGCGAGACGCTACTCGCGGGCAACACACAGCCCAACTCGCAGGACTTATCAAGGAGGCTTGGGAGGAGTCGAAGTGGTCACTCGTTCATCGGCTGTGTCGTCGCCTAGCGTGCACTACTGTGGGACCAGGGCGTCGTTTTTTTCAACCAGGCGATTTGCACGCGCCCCACCGTTCAGATGTGGACCGCGCATCTCGGCCAGCCAGGCACTGCAGGCGGTCAGTCAGCGATTCCAGTGCAGCTTAGTGAGTTCCCAGAGGACCGACAGGCACCTGGTTCTGGACGTTGGTTTTACAATCCTGGTTTTCAAGATGATGCCGTATCGGACCTCCAGGGAATCTCTAGCGCGTTCCTTCGCATGGCTTATCGGAAAAGCTCCCCGCCCTGGAGCCTACCCATGGAGATGTTTCTGATGATTTTCTTACCGCATCACCGACACCCCCAGTATAAGGACGAGGCACGAGGATTTCAAGAAGCGAACCCGTCGATGGAATGGCTGTCTCGGAGAGTTCGGGGATTCTTATGGGATGTACGAGGTGGGGGGGGCGAATTCCTATGGATTGGCATCGGTCTTGGGGCTGCTGTATTCCAAAGCCGACCACAACTATTTCTGGACTGAAATCTGTTCGTTTAATACATCGGATGTGCCCCTTCAGTAAGGCATATGCGAAGTATTTAGGCATTCGAGGTGATCAGTCTTACCCAGAACGAGACTATTCGTACCACCTGCACGGCGGAGTTCGGCACCGACGCCGAGAGTCTGCGATCAAGATCCAGCTCATTACGAGCTGGCGATTGGCCCGTCTCCGCAAGTCGCATAGCACACTCTTTTTTGATCAGGCCAATGCCTGCGGCAGTATCCGCGCAGACATCCTGGACGAAACCGACTACTTGCACATGCACCCCGAGGACGTGTTTTTTCGGACATCACAGCAATCATCTTAGCACGGTCATTCTGGACGGGTCCGATGGGGTCGGCACGTTTCAAATTCAAGAGGGGGTTCTCCAGGGACATCAGTCTGCGCCCGTGAACTACATACGTAGCTACGATCGCATTGCGCTAGTGCCTTGGCTAGAGGCGCGCAGAGCCAGACCAGGAGGACAGGGCCTTATGTGCACGAGCCCCATGAATGACATTGAGGATTTTACGATTGACTTATCTACTACTGTATATCTTGATGATACTGCACACAAGGTCGTGGCCATCTCAGCCGAGGCGATGGATGTCGAGACCCGTCATGCCACCGACAGTTTGGTTCAGTTGCTAGCACAGGCAGGCGGCGCTCTTAATTTTGACAAGCAGGTCACGGCACCGCGGTTCGTGGGGCCTGGCGCTTTTAAGGAGTCTCGTGCGTTTACTGACCCCCTTCGGGGTCTTCCAGGCACAGTGAGCACGCGTGCGAAGTATCTCGGCGTTCAGTATGCAGGCACAGGTACAACAGCACTACAACGACAGTCCATCCTCAAGAACATGCGCAGTGCGTGGCATTCAATGGGACGGTTCTGGTTTGTCATGCATGTTCCGTTGCGTATTCAACTTCTTGTGTTTTAAGCACGCGTGCAGTCAGCAGGTCTCAGCGGTCTTGAGGCGTTCATTCTCTCGCCCATCGACTTTAACCTTGTCGACGGGCTGCTTCTCAAGTGGGGTCGCACGTTGCTCAAAGGGGCAGCCGTGCGGGAGATTCCGATGGCAGACGGCGCACTCAAGCACGTCGCCCTCCCCCCGCATCGAATTTGGGTCAAGCTTGGGCTGATCCCGACGCAGCTGGAGCTTCGCATCAGACGATTGCACTGGCTACAACAGCTGGCGCGGCACCGCCGTGAGAATGTCCAGCTTCTGGCGGCTCTTTTCGGCCAAATGAGTGGGGAGGAGCGAGCCACGGTTTGAAAATTATACCCTTGTTCGAGATGATGTTGGGCTCTGCACTGGGAAACCCTGGGCACTCCAGGCCTTCAATGACCTCAAAATGCTCTCGCTGGTAGAACGGGGCCCTGAGCTTCTAAGAAATCTTGGCCATCTGTTATTTCGCGTGTTCACGGAGGAGTTTGGAGTGCGATTTTCGGAACCCAATTTCGGCCAGCTTCGGAAACTGTTGTGGGAAGGACGTATTGATGAGAAGGGGGTCCGACGAGGACAAGGAGTGGGACAGGGAGTGCAGGATACTGGAGGAGAGGATATATCTGACCCCGTTCCACTTCTTCCCCCTCGTGTTTGGCGATGTCAAGAATCCCATGATGATGGCAGTGTCTGTGGGTTAGAATTTTGTGATCAAACGGCGTGGTATGCACATATGCGTTTCTGCGCTGAGGGCAGTCATGGGCACCGTGCTCTTTCTCAGCTCCTCACGGTTACCAATCAGTGCCCCTGGTGTATGAGTACTCACTCTATTGTTGCGATTTCTCGGCAGCATGTTCGGCGTCTGTTCTTACATCGTCGTTGTCAGTGTGACCGAAGCCCTGTGCATCATCCCGTGAAGGTACCTGACAGTTTCCAGTGTCCCGCTTGCAGTGTTGATCATCCGTCGCTTGAGGCTCTGCTGGTTCACGTTCGATCTCACGTCGCCCTCCCCGACGCAACCCTTTCCTTCCTAGTCGATGACGTGGGCCATGGAGGTGGCCCCTGTGGAGGTCGAGAAGGCGAAGCAGCGCCTGGCGGAGCCCTCAGCGCAGCCCTCCTTCAGCGCTGGCGGCAGCGGCGAGCGGCGAGATCGCAAGGACAGGCGCACGGCGCCACCTGCGGCGGCAAAGGGCACCCAGCATCCCGAGGGCGGCAGCGACACGGAGGACGACACGGCCCAGGAGATGATGAAGGGGTTCCTCAACACATCTCAGCGCCTTCGCGGAGTGGAAGGATGTCTGCTGACCACGCACCTCTTGCCGAAAGAGCACGTGCTGAACGGAGTTGCGGCGGCTGCGGCTCAACAGTATCAGGAGAAGACCGCAGGCAAGGGAGATCACGATCAAGGGCCCCCGAGTCTCCATGTCAGTCTGCGGGTACTCAAGGCGATGTGCACCCTAGACGAACTCACCGCGAAGCAGGAGTATCAGAGTCACCTGAAGGCCTTGACAGGCCTGATACAAGCAGTGACCGCCCAGCCCTTGCCAGTAGCATGCGAGGCTCTCAAATATTGGAGGGCCAAAACGACCTTTCAGAGAGACGGAACCCCACAGCTGGTTCGTCACACGTTTTTTGTGAATTCCTGGATCCAGGGGACAGGGGGTCTCATGACACCCATGAATGCAGTCATCGTCGCTCTTTTTCTTGCCCTGGGGAGCCTGCCGAAAATGGCCCCCCCCCTCGCACGACGCAGGAACGCAGGGTACAGAACTCGCTCGAGAAAATGCTACGAGGGGCCCGCCACAAGAAGTGGTAGATGAAGTCCCTGACGCCTCTCTCCGTCCTCCTGGGAGCTCCCTTTCGTCCCTTCTGCGTCCTCCTGGCACTCTCGGATCTTTCTCTGAGCGAGGCCTGGTGCGGTTTCAAGGCGAGTGGGATCCCATTAATAGGCCACAAGGTAAAGGGCGCCCCCGGGGCAAAGGCAAAGGCAAAGCAACGAGGCAAGGCAAACAATGATTTCGTCTTCGCTTGTGTCTCCTTTTTTTGATGCGCGTGGGGTGCGCGTGGGCTTGTTGTTTCGAGAAACAGTAGTTTGTGCAAGTTTAAGGCGAGAGTTTCTTCTGCTTGAGTTTTGCCACGGCTCACTTGCCGTGAGTGCCTGGCTGCCCGTCCCCTCTCTTCCTCCTGCTGCGTCTCTCCGTGATCCGAGAGGATCTTCATGTTCTGATCTGTGCGTGCAGGCCTCTCGACCCTGCATCACACTTAGGGAGTCCCCATCTAAGTGTGGGGAAGGGGCTCCCGATACGTTTGACATCGAAGGGGTGCATAGAGCCTCCCTAACCGCCCTGCGGCCAAGCGGACCTGTTGACACTGGGATCGAGGCCGTATGCAGATTGCCAGCCAGCCAGCCTACTCGTCCTCTTCCTCCTCCCTCTCCTTGCGGCATACGCCCCGCTGCGCGCTGAGCGCGCCAGTAGCGGCGCCGCCAGGGGGGGCCCAGCGCCGATCCAAGATGCCCGTCACCAGGCGTGGCAAGG